AACAGCACATATGTGGAGACGCAGCCAGAAGGTTTCAGAAGATGCATGAAGATTTCATCCAAAAGAAGGATCCCTACAGATGTCTGAATGAAAACAAAGAAAAGTTTCTTGCTGATTTCAAAGATGTGTTCCATAACGTAGACCAGTGCCAGAAGAAGGCAGGAGAATTCACAGACCGATGCTTGAAGCCTGCAGTCGAAGACTTTGTCAACCGTTCCCTGGGTCCTGATATCATTGGTGAAATGAGGACAAGTGAAGAGTTCAGCACAAGAACGTCCTTCCAGTATTCAGTTTTACTGGATCTGCTCTCCACGGGTGACTTTAAAAAGTACCAGAGCTTTATTTCCTCTTATGAGAAATATGTAAAGAAATGGATACTCAACAAAATATTGGAACGCTTCTCAAATGGGTCTACGGTGTTTGAGGAACAACATCTCCAGTCATGTGTCAACAGCATAAATAATGCTATCCAGAAAGCTAAAACAGAAAAGAGTGGCAACGTAAGGTCATTTGTTGAAGTTGTCTGTCAGAAACTTGGTGACAAACTGGTCATTTCCCAGGATGCTCTTGGGGCATTCATGACCCTGAACAAGGCCGACCAGGAACAGTTTGCTCACTGGCTCACTGAGTGTGTGATGGAGATGGCACAAACTCTTAGAGAGAAGTTTAAGAAAAGAGACATCCAAACTAAACTACAGAGCCTTCATGTGAATCCTCAGAACGAGCTTTTCAACACACTGATTGGATGTGGTAAACAGTGTCCGTTCTGCAAAGCGCCCTGTGAGGCAGGAGGAAGAGCCCACACTGAGCACTTCACTTCACTTCATCGACCAGAGGGTCTGGGTAGATACAGATGGAGTAATACCAACAAACTTTGCATTGACATATGCTCTTCCCTAGTAAACAGTGACATTTCTTTTCACTGCAGGGATACAAATGATCAATCGCACCCTTTCAAGCGATACAAAGAAATCTATCCGGACTGGAAAATCCAAGCAGATGCAAGCCTTCAGGCATCAGACTACTGGAAATATGTAATGGCTAAGTTCAATAAAGAGTTTGCAGCAGCATACGATGCAAACTCTGCTGATATTCCTGCAGCTTGGAAACTTATCACACATAAGCAAGCTGAAGCCAGCCTCAAAGAGTCATTTCATTCCAAATGAGAAACTTCAAGCTTCGTGCTCACAGAGGGTCACGTCCTCCTCATTACAGTCAGCATCCTCTCATTTAGATTACACTTGATTTATATGAAGAGAAGCACACAAAGTAACATGCTGTTTATGAGATGGCAAGGTTGACCAAATATTTCAACAACAACTTACAAGGAATTTGTAAACATTTCAGTTTGATTTACAGACGTTAAATCCTTCTTATTTTGGTTGTTATTGTAGTATCAATTAATCAAATTTGATTTGATGAAGTGTTTTTATTTCCTTGAAGTAACTGATGCAAAAATATTAGCTTTTATGTTTTTCTGTGGTTTTGTCGTAAACATATTAACAATTTCAATGTTTTAAAATATCATTCAGTCTTCATGTCAACATCAAGATTATACAATGTCTTTATTTTTAATTCAAATAAGTATCTGGTTCTTATTATTTACATTTTTATTGACACGTTTATAATTGTTGTCTTTTCATTTTTTGAGCTGCATCAAAAGCCACACATTTAGATGTTTAAATCAGTGAATGAATCATTGTGTTTTAGTGGTGGTACAGTCAACATGTAAACATGACAGAAAGTCTGTTGTAATCAAGTTCAGTTTGACATGTGACCGTTCCCCAGAGTTAGAATCTATCCTTATTTTGTTTCATTTATATATTTACATATTCAATGTTTAACATATCATTCAATCTAAATGTCAATATGTAGTTTACACATGCAGTTTCTTCTTACCTTTTTGAGTGCTAAATGTCATTTTCTTACCAAAAACCTGAAAGTCTTTCTTTGTATTCCAATCAAGTATTTAGCTCCAAACAGGGACTAAAAATCAGCAAATATTTACATTTTTATGTTCATGTTATAATATTTACTCAAAATGTATTATGTTAGTTTTCATTTTCAAATGCCACATTTTTTACATTTTTAGATCAATGAAAGGATAATTTAGTTCATATTCAGCATGTAAACACGTAAACATGACAACAAGTTTGAATCAAGTTAAAGGTGGGGTAGGTAATTTCAGAGAAACCAGCTTGAGTGCGCTAGAATTTGAAAATACACAGCCGGAAAAAATCTGCCACTTCCTTACAGAGCCCCTCCTCCAACACACACGAACGCGCACATGACCAATGAGGGCACGAGATAAGTTTGTGCACAGATGGAAGGCTGACAGGCAGGTAGGCCATCCAGTTATTTTAGCCGGGCCGGCTCAGATGATTGGTCGTGCTTTTTACTACGGCTTCCACAGATGACATTTTTTTATGGATTTTTTGTCAAAGCACTTAAGATATTCATTGCTATCGGGATGTTAAGAGCATTCAATGGAATATAACAAAAAGTGTATCTCGAGCCGGTTCCTCAAACTTACCTACCCCACCTTTAAGGATGATATAAAGATGGTATTATTTTTGTGAATATTTATTTTGTTGCATTTTGCATTGCAAGTGCTATTGTCAACAAGTAACAGCATCATATATGATCTTTCTTTTACTCAGATCTTCTAATCTTTTGTTTCTGTGAAGTATCTGATTCTTTATATTTACCTAATAAAAAATACCATTCATTTCTTTATACTGTTCATTTCTTTATAATGTTAACATGTATACTTACTACTGTATACTATTTCAATAAAGAGACAACATCTGCAGACTGGCTCTGGATGTCTTTAATGTTTCCCAGATCAGAATCACAGCATACTTTTCTTTTAATAATCATCTTTATTTTCCATTCCATTATTTCAAATTGTTCTTCATTTCAAGTCTTGGGTTTCTGAATTCAACAAAGAATGTAAAAACAAGACCACAGGTGCAACTCTGCAATGAATCGTGTGTGTGTGCAAAGTCTCTGTGGTGGTCAGTGGCAGCGCTAGGGGGTGGCTACTTGGGCTCAAGCCCCGGATGTTTTCTGAAAAGCCCCGGATGTTTCACTTAAAACAAATTTTTTTTTTAAAAAACGTCTCGGGAGTAATGTGCAGTACCGGAGTCCACCAGAGAGGCAGCCACTGTGGGACATTAGCCTGCGTACTGCGTAGCCTGCCCTGAAGAAGAAGTGATCCTTCCTAGTGCCTGACAAGTTTTAAGCTAATAGCATATACAGTTATGGATATTAGAAAGTTATTGTCATTGAAGCAGCCGGCGCCACAAGCTGCAGCAGCAGCAGTATCAGCAGCAGCTGACAACAATGTCATCACCAGCAGTCAAGAAATGGATGATGTTTCAGGTTTGTTAATCTAATGGTGATATCTGCACTCTGGCTGACTGAGTAAGAAGTGAAAAAAGAGTGATATAACGTTAATGTTATAGCTAGTAAACATGGAGTAACCACACTAAGTATACCCTTATATGTTAGTATGTATAAAGAACATGACTAAAAATTATCCTAAGATGTAACGTTAACCCTTCATAACTCAGTCTACTTTTAAGACACTAAAATAACTTATTCCAATTTTTATTTTGTTTTCACGCGTGGAATTATACCGGCTCTCGTTTCAGTACACATAACAACAGAACTGACAGGCAACCCTCTGAATCAGACTCCGATTGGCTCCGAACTGCATCGCTGGCGTGGCTCGCTACAAAAGTTGAGCAATGCTCAACTTTTGACGCCTCGGCAGAAGCGTCAGCCAATCGAATCATATGCCAGTACAAGCTCTAGCCAATCAAACCGCTGCTTGTGTGTCAGGGGCGGGAGATTCATGTGATTGGTTGTTGGTCGAGTGTCAGACACGCCCGCCGGCAAGCGTCAACGCACGCCGCTGTGTGGACGGGCCGTTACACTCTTTACGTCACAAACAAAGATGGTGGATGAGAATAGATCTATAAAACGATAAGCAATGCGCCAGAATCAAGGTGAGACTATCCGCATCCTTTAAAACTCTACGCACATTCGTTTCAACTTAATAAGTAAACGACTATTTGAGTGAGTTAAGGCATTAGTTTGCTTCATTAAAGGGTGTTAATGAGTGTTCTCCAGTGCCTTTTGTCAGCTTTAAGGTGTTATTAAGGTAGGGTTAATGTTGCTCTCAAAGTGCACCAGATTGATGCTTTCAACTTCAATATTTAAAAAAAAATCTTCCCGGGGGAGCATGCCCCTGGACCCCCCGAGAGGAGGCGACGACCCCCCTAAAGGATGTTCGGTCCACCCCCCACTTGTAAAAATGGCACTGTACCCCTGCACCCCCCCCCCCCCCCCCCAACCCAACGACTCCCCAGATCTCCTACAATCCTAAATCCGCCTATGGTGGTGGTGCCGACAAACGACCCGACCCGTCTTGTAACACGGAGCCCGTTTCCTAAACCATGCTAAATGTAGTGTGTGCATAAAGCTGAGTTATGATCGGTCATAATTAAATAGTTTACAGTGAGATTTACTCACATACTTTTGGCCATACTCGCGTAAATTAATGCCAGTTTATTTGTTGTACTTTCTATTTTTATTGTGTAATTTTGTGACACCAATGTATGCATTTGATACATATAATGATGGCCTCTCCTATACAGTATAGCCCTTAAGGTCAAATAATGAGATCCTCGACCCCCCCACATATCAAATCCCAATGTAACCCCTGTGTGTGTGTGTGTGTGTGTGTGTGTGTGTGTGTGTGTGTGTGTGTGTGTGTGTGTGTGTGTGTGTGTGTGTGTGTGTGTGTGTGTGTGTGTGTGTGTGTGTGTGTGTGTGTGTGTGTGTGTGTGTGTGTGTGTGTGTGTGTGTGTGTGTGTGTGTGTGTGTGTGTGTGTGTGTGTGTGTGTGTGTGTGTGTGTGTGTGTGTGTGTGTGTGTGTGTGTGTGTGTGTGTGTGTGTGTGTGTGTGTGTGTGTGTCACTGTCTTTACCGTGGGCCACATGAAGTCACTTTGGTTTGCATGGCTGACTGCAGTTTGCTGAGGCTAGGTGTGTCCACATACATCCAGTCTGATCCACAGCTAATCACAGGTTCAGACTCTGAAAGTGAGAGATATTCAGATTAACTTAAAGTTGAATTTAAACTGTTAACAAGAAACTAGAAGTAAAGAATGTTTTTAAGGATGTGTGTGCATGTTTTGCTTTCTAGTGTTTTTGTGTTGATTTGTCCCATAACTGTATATTTTGCTAATTAAATGAAAACACATGATTACATTTGGATGAAGAAAGTAGATGGGAACACAACAAGGGGAAGTCGGTCCATGTCATTCATTATCTTCATCTTCAGGTCAGCGGAGTTGGCAATAATGAATAAATGACTGACCTGTATTCCACCCTGAGCTTTTTTTTAACAGTGTTAAAGATCAATTCAGACAGTTGTATCATTTTTCAAGAAATCAATCACATGGTCTTACTGAACACTGTCCTTTACCTATTCATTCTGAACATGGACTCCAGCAGACTACTGACATCTAGTGGACATGAATTGCAACAACACCCACTTTAAACTCAGGATTTCTCTTTCTAATTGTTATCTTTAAAACATAAAGACATGATGGAACCTTAAACATTTCTTAATTGGACCTGACAATTAAAGACAATTGTTAATTTACTGTTAGCACTGTCGTTTTTTTTAAGTAAATAATTTCATTTAAAACACAACCGTAGCCTCAAGACATGCAAAGTGAATTAAGAAGAGCAACTATCTGCAATTGACAACAACTTAATATGTTTAACTTCAGTTGCCTCAATTGAAGCTCCCGTCACAGTGTACTGAGTCCATTGCTGCTGTCATCATCAAACATCTCCACACACAGACAGCACAATCATATCTGTCAACTGATTTATCAGGGAAAATAGGACCTCAACTTGAGCCGGAAATCGATCGTTGAAGGACGTCCTTAAACGTGTGCGGAGGAGTCGAGGAGAGAGTATAGGCTTTTACATTTGCTTGATTTTTTGTAAAACAGAAATATCTTTGATTAAGGATGAGATCCTTCTCTACGACACATTAAAGTGTTTGAAATGAACGTACACATTAAAAAATAATGGTTTGATCATAATTATTGTCACTATTAATGAATCATTTACAGTTCCTAATAGTGGTTTATTTGCATGTGTGGATAAAGGACACTGCATTTAAAACAATTCATTGGTAAATAAAATGATTATTATTTAGTTTATTTTAATTAATACATTTGTGTCTGAATTCTTACTTTAGTTTTTGTGTGTTTTTTATTTGTTGTCTTTATAAAAAAAGAAAGAATATATACGCTGTTTTTTTAATGTTTTCAAATAGTGAGTTCTGCAAACTTCTACTATCCAAAAATGTAAATATTCTTCGACTTTTACTAGCTATGGACATGGTCTTCCTGTTAACAGTCATTCTTCAGGTATTAATCAGATATCCTTATTTAGTCTAGTAAACTTCTTGTTTCTATTTGATGCAACTTCATAAACTGGCTGTCATTTCCCTTGTATACAACGTGGTGCCCTGGAGAGGTGATTTGATGTAATATAAGTTATACAAATATAATAATACATAATAAATGATATATAAAATAAATAATAGAACATTTATACATTTTCTTTTTCTCTGCAGGTTATCAATTATGATTTTATAAATTCTAGCAGTTTTATTTATATTAATTATCATTAATAATTGTTAATAACCAGACTTGCTTAGAGTAGAGCAACAACATTTTGGTGGCCCTTTTTGGGGGGTACTATGGTCATTACTTTGGGCACTAAAAGTGAAGCAACCTTTAAGATGAAGTATGCTGTCAGTATATTTTACAAAGTAGAATGTTATTACTTTTAGAAACATCAGGTGCATAACATGATTAAATGTGAATTCAATCACAACTATTTTAACTGTCAGTCTGACTTTAAAATGCAGTTATAGCGAAACCTTTATATTGCTCCCGCAAAGGCCTCCTGTGCAGACCACCAGGTCAGCAGGGAGTCACTGTCTCTGCATTGGGGCCTCCTGCTGGTGAAGTGGAAAGTTACATTGTGAGTTGTTGCAGTGAGGGAGACAGTGTGCAAGAGACAACTGACACAAACAAGATGACATTCAACAACCTGAAGCCAGGGGAGTCTTACTTTCTAGAGGTTTTTACAAAACTTCAGTACAAGTAAGTCAAATAAAATCATTATTGCATGGTTGATAAATACATGTCACAGATGTTGACCCAAAGAGGAAGATTGGAATTGAGCAGATGGCTTTGAGTGAACAAGCTTCTGGGTTGATAAAGACCTTTCAGAGTTTGAGTGTGCCAAGAAAAATGCAGATTACATTGTGGTGGGCATTTTAATTCCCTTAAGAGAAACTGATAAATTATTCAGAAACAAGTTTGTCTTTTTTTATATTTAATAAAGTAATAAAGAAAGTCAGATACAATTGAAATCGATCTCAAATGCAGGAACTGAGCAACTTCATCCTCAGAGGATAAAGAAGTTTTGCACCCCCAATACAGCTTACATTCCCACTATATAGAAGAAAGAAAAACAGTCTACTTATCCTATTCCCATGAATTATGTTAGACATTATCTTATCATTCCCACCATTAAACCATAAAACCCCCCAGTCATAACCTTTTGTAAATCCACCTTTCACCCCACCTTTTGCCCTACCGGAATATCAAACCTAAACATATGTCTGTTAAACACATTTAAGACTCAAGATACAATTTAACAGAGTAAAAGGTATTATATATATATATATATATATATATATATATAAAATCATATATGATTAAATGATTTTACCATCACCGCAGAATTGTTCTTGATTGATTCCTTGTGGAAGAAAGAAACCTGTTTTAGTTCCTTCATCAAAATACAAAGTTTAAACCAATTTGCAATCAGAAATCCTTTATTAGTCGCACAGCGGGGACATTTAAAGTGTTACAGCTTACATTGAATAGCAGGTAAAAGTAAAAAAGTAAAGCACACTCTGTGTGTAATCAGCTCACAGCAGCAGCCGACATTAGAGAGGGGATGACAGAACTTGATAAAATCAAGGAGAACCACACAAAGAAATTAGAGACCAGAGCAGTGCTTGAGTTGGGCCGGTATACTTCTGATTTTTACCCATGTGGTACCGGCACTTCTTACTGAGTACTGGCAAGGTGCCAGTACTCAGTAAAATGCTGGTACTCAGCCGCCAGCCGCCGGCGGCACATCATGATGGCCCGGACTGGCCTGTTAACTGGCCTGCTGGCCTGAGGATTTTTTTGTATACGTATTGTGAACACAACGCTGCGCAAATGTGGGTCTGACTCTGGCTGTATACATGATGTGGCCTGCCGACATGGCTACTTTCATACAGATCATACTAATGCCCTCGATTGGTCTCTGTGTGTCATTCAAGCTCGGGAGGGTGTGTGTTAGTGTATGTGTGGCGCGAGCGAGCGAGAAAGCGCGCGCACCGGTTACGTGTATTGTTGTTAGCATCTGGTGCTAGCTAGCTGCGCTAACGGATATAAGGAGCTGTTTCAACAACAAGGTGGAGGGAGAGTCCTCTGCTGTCAGACTGAGAGGCTGATAACTACAGCTCAGGTGAGGTAAATTACTGTCTGAGTGTTTAGATAGTTAACTTAGTCTAAGTTATCTCAGTGGGTCTCAAACGGTTTGGTCACCATTTATGTAAACACATATTTCCATTTGAGGGGGTAGTGATTAGTAAAATAGGCATGAATAATAAAAATAAAATGTTAACTAGGTGAACAAATTTAAGATAAACTTGTTGAGAGCTAAAACTAGTCTTTGCTGCTGCCTCAAAGAGGAGCAGGGGTAGAGGAGGGAGACAGGAGAGGCTGATTCAGCAACACACTCTCACTCCCTAAGCGTCCAGGAGCGACGTTTGGTCAGTGTCCGTGGCGTCCAGTTGTGACGCTCCTAGGCTCCTTCAGCGTCATAAAGGGACGCAAATAGCTTTCAACTGATTGCAATGTATTCCCATCTGCGGCGGGATTTGACGCTCATGGAAGCACGGCATTCGTTTGTGTCGGCTGCCCTTAAAGGCAATGTGAGCGTCCATTCCCATTGGATAACGGAGAATTGTACACCCGGAAGTAAGTATTTCTCTTACTGTCGATTGATTTTACAGTGATATCTGCACTACTCATCGACTAAAAAACACCAGATTATCCTTGTTAATTACACAACATTGATTGGTTTAAATTGTGTGCAATGCTTTTGTATTTTCCCCCTTCGATTCGGAGAAACAAATATTTTTTCTGAGTAAAGGTTGGAAGAAGACACTACACTACCCAGAATCCCCATCTATCGTTTGGACTACACCATGTGCTCTGTTTGACAAACTCCGTGATAGTCCTCAAGCTCTGTGATTGGAGAGTGTGCTCCGAGGGTTACACCGATTCTCGAACAGCACTTGAAATGGGATGGAACCACGGTAGACTTCGTAGTTATTACGAAGATTACTTCAGGAAATTGTGTCTATACAACGTTTTCATTGTCACCAAGGTGGTTGCTAGGAATGCTGCTATCGATATTATTTCTGTTATGTTGTGTAACTGTTTAATGGTGTTATCTTTATTGCTACCCCCTTCCCCGTCAATGTATAGTGTTGGTCCATAGCGCAAACGTATTAGTTTAACAAAATCTGCAACAAAAGTCGGAGTCCGTCAGGACCGAGGGTCGGAGCAGCTCATTTGCTTTACAGAATATTACACCCGGAAGTAAGTATTCTCTCCGCTTCGCTTGACAAACCCCGTGATAGTCCTCAAGCTCTGTGATTGGAGAGTGTGCCGAGCGTCGAACAGCATGTGAAATGGGATGGAACCACGGCAGACTGTCCAAAACTGGATTTGAACGGGTCCACCCCGTCCCCCCTCCCCCACCCCGTCCCAAGAACTACACATGCTGGCTATTGTGTTTCGCAATATGTTCTATGGCACGTCTCTACTGGGAGTTGTAGTTTTAAAAGACGTTTTCGTATTTCCCATAATAAGAAGTTGCCAGTATTAAACTGTGTACATCCCTGGAGGTTTAGGGGATAGGAAACACTCAAATGT